CATTAATTCGAAACTTTTGCGTGGCGCCCAGACGCAGGAGATTCGTGACGTAAACACAATGCGTTATAATAACAATGCGTCGCGCAAGCAATAGTGACCGCTCAGGCGGGCACTATTGCGTCATAGTGCCTGCGACGTTATCCAATCGAATTTCAACGATTTATCACGTGATGCACTAATCACTGTTAATGTTACTGCCTGACACAGCAGATGAAAGGTCAGCATAAACAACTGGCAATTGTTTATTATTATTATTATTATTATTATTATATATCTTTATTGCATGTAATTCAACTGCAAATACATGTAATTGACGTGTCGTGTGCGTGCGAGAGTAGTGCTTTAATTCTGTTTCCGACCAAAATACATTTATTTATGTCAAAGTGCAAACAGGAAATACAATTACATTGGCTCTGGTATTAGTGGCGTCACTAGGGTTGGTGTCACACTGTGCGGTAACTTATCGTGTCACCCCCATGGACCTCCTCCCGTACCAGACCATACAGAATCCTTAGTAATGTTTTTTTGTACTAATGTTACTCGTAAATCCAAATTCCCGTATATCACTGAATGTAATGGCATAGTAGTTACATCAACAACTAGCAAAATTAAAATATCATATATACGCGCCGCCGTAATGTATATATATTTATATCTACACAGTTTCATGTGGTTAATATGAAAATTTTATAGACAGTCATTTTGGCATCACCCCCTCCATTCCACGGGATGGCACATCATTCCACGAGGTGGCACATCATTCCACGGCATCATGGCACATCATTCCACGGGATGGCACATCATTCCACGGCATCATGGCACATCATTCCACGGGATGGCACATCATTCCACGGGATGGTACATCATTCCACGGCATCATGGCACATCATTCCACGGGATGGCACATCATTCCACGGGATGGCACATCATTCCATGGGATGGCACATCATTCCACAGCATGGCACAACGTTCCATAGTGTGGAGTGCAACCAACCTTGGACGTAACACAACGTTCCAGCGTGCATCTTCAGTGCTGTACCTTAAACACAGGGTGGGGCAAGGGGGGGGGCACTTACCCATGCCAGACCAACGTAGACCGTTGACAAAAACATCGTAATGTTTCCCCAACAAATTCGAAAGGGTTTCTCACAAGCAAGGTAAAAAAGGTTCCGGTCTACGAGAAAAACAGTCAATGTCAAGACTAATGTTGAGACGGACGATCTCCAATGATCTTGTCCCTGTTGGCGCCCCCTGTATCTTAAGACGGGTTCCTCTCTGACGACGCGCCTTCCCCCTGTATCTTAGCTGGTCTTCCTCTGTACTTCCCGCTCGGCGTCCGCGGCTTTCTTCTTGTCCCTGTTGGCACCCCCTGTATCTTAAGAGGGGTTCCTCTCTGACGACGCGCCTTCCCCCTGTATCTTAGCTGGTCTTCCTCTGCGCTTCTCGCTCGGCGTCCGCGGCGGCGTTGTGGATGAGAGCGACGCCGGTGACGATGAGGCCGGCGCCGACGAACCACGTCGCTCCCAGCGTCTCGCCGAATAGAAGCCGACCCGTCAGCGCCTGCAAGCAGCAGCAACGACCGATTACACACGCGCTCGCTGGAAGGAAGAGATGGGGAGGGAGGGAGGGAAAGAAGGAGGGAAGGAAAGAGGGAGGGATGGAGGGAGGAAGGGGGGAGAGACTGAAAAGGTGAGAGAAAGAGAAGAAGCCGGCCGGTGAGCATCTGCAAGCAGCAGCAACGACCGATTACACACGCGCTCGCTGGAAGGAAGAAAGGGGGAGGGAGGGAGGGAGGGAGGGAGGAAGGGGGGAGAGACTGAGAAGGTGAGAGAAAGACAGAGAGGGGGAGAGAGAAAGAGAAGAAGCCGACCCGTCAGCGCCTGCAAGCAGCAGCAGTGACCGATTACACACGCGCTCGCTGGAAGGAAGAGAGGGGGAGGGAGGGAGGGAGGGAGGGAGGAAAGGGGGAGAGACTGAGAGGGTGAGAGAAAGAGAGAGAGGGGGGAGAGAGAAAGAGAAGAAGCTGGCCGGTGAGCGCCTGCAAGCAGCAGCAGCGACCGATTACACACGCGCTCGCTGGAAGGAAGAGAGGGGGAGGGAGGGAAGGAGGGAGGGAGAGAGGAGAGACTGAGAGGGTGAGAGAGGGAGAGAGGGATGAAGAGAGAAAGAGAAGAAGCCGGCCGGTGAGCGCCTGCAAGCAGCAGCAGCGACCGATTACACACGCGCTCGCTGGAAGGAAGAGAGGGGGAGGGAGGGAGGGAGAGAGGGAGGGAGGGAGGAAGGGGGGAGAGACTGAGAAGGTGAGAGAAAGAGAGAGAGGGGGGAGAGAGAAAGAGAAGAAGCCGGCCGGTGAGCGCCTGCAAGCAGCAGCAACGACCGATTACACACGCGTGCGTGCTCGCTCGCCCTCTCATATATATATATATATCAAGAGCTAATAATACCTAGAGTGTACAACAGAAAAACGGGAAAATAGTGCTATTTCACGACATGATTATTCTACTTTGCCTGCGAGTCTAAAATAATTTTATGGTACTGCATTAAGCAGAATTCTTTGCTCTCTAAAACAAGACCAACCGCTTGTCAATAC